CCAATATTGGGGGACTACCCTGATACTACTAGTCAAGGATAGAGAAGAGATTTGAGAATGAGGTATAGGCTGGGTGAGGTATACACACCTGTAATCCAGCTACTTAGGAGGTGGAGACCAGCCTGCTCAAGGCCAGCAGGGGGGAAAATGTTATCGAGACTATCTCAACCAGTAAGCCAGGCATGGTGGTATATGCCTGTCATTCCATCTGTTTGAGAGGCTGTAAGTAGGAAAATCTTGGTCTGAGGCTGGCTTGGGCAAAAATGTGAGACCCTACTTGAAAAATAACTAAGGCAAAAAAGGGCTGGACTCAAGTGCTAGAGCACCTGGCTAGCAAGCGTGAGGCCCTAAATTCAAATCCAGGTGCCACTCCCCAAAAATAAGGTGTACATTCATAAATTTTTGAAAACAATTATATAAGAAGCAAGCTTCACTTTGAAATTAGCAACCTATATAACTCCTTCTGGAAGTCCTACCAGTACAAAAAACAGTTGCCATGAGGTAAGGGAAAGCTTTCCCTCTCTCTTAATAAAGGGAGCTACAGCTGCAGCTTGTTTGCAGACTCTGGTCCCCCATATCTCCGTGTGTGAATATGTCTTAATAAATGTGCTGACTTACTTGACTTCCTCCTCTTACCTAGCATTACTATATTCTGTAATGAAAATTTTGCCCTCATCTGAAGAATTGTGAAGTGAAATATGTTAACAATGGTTATCCCTAGCTATATAGTTGATATTTGAATTTTTAAGATTCTGGGCATTTTCCAGATTTTTGATAAGAAATATGTGTTATCTTGTAATTAGATATTATAAATTTTAAATCAGTCAGGTTAGAATCTTTTAAAAATACATTATTTAGGAATGATGTTGCAACAGCCTCTGCCCGTGGTATACTCAAAGTCATTGTAGGAAGGAGGAAAGGAAAGAACAAACTGTTAACAAAGAACTTAGAAAAAACGTTAGCAACTCAGAATTTATTTTAAGATTAAATAAGATTATAAGTATAAATAAATTCTAAGCTGTGGTTTATGCATTGAAATAAGAAACAAGTTTAGACAGGAAAAACAATTAGCAGCAGATAAGCTTAAATAACTATAAATAATATCTTTATTTTTCTAAGATCTTAATGAAAGTATTTATCTTAGAGAAAAAACAAATATTTACCTCTAATCCTTATCATACAAAGAAAATAAAGTTCTTCTGCCTCTATGAAACATACAGTCAGAAAATTCCTTCTTTAACGATTTTTCAGTGAAGTGAGATTAAAGGATGTAAAATGAGATAAATGAATGTGAAAGGTCATTATAAATTTCCAGTATTTTGCAAATCTACTACTATTACAGTCAGATTATCATGTTCTACCTCTAGTAACTGCTGTGCAACTTGTTATAAGTATCTCATATTTACTCCAAAAGTAAATATCCCAAAATTTCAAAGCTACTCCTGTTCTCATCACATTTAAGGGGTAAGGTGTATCCTGGCTGCCAATACAGACAATTTCTAGTGCACTATTTCCATGTTAGCCTTAGAACATTTCAATTAAAGTCAAAATATAGCTTAATTTCCCAGTGGACACAATTATTTCCTTTACTTTAGAACTATCAAGTGCACTAGCATTTTTTAAAAGACCCCAGAAAGAGATTCGGGACCATGACCAAAACCTAGTGTGTGTAGTGTAACTCTTGTGTGAATTCAGTTACTCTAAGTTCATAGAAATCCTCTTGCTGGGCAGACAAGTGATGTTTAGGTGAAGGCAAATGATGTGTTGTCGAAGTCCTCAGCTATCGCAGATAGAGTGGCGTAAGGTAGAGTCACAGGCAAATACTGAATTTAGTTTAGCCTAGTGGGCCTGAACTTTGGCATTGCTATTTTACACTTGGAAAAAGATAAAATTATGAGGGTATAGGAAGACTTGAGTGTTTACTCTAACTTCACCACTACTTAAGAATGCAATCTTGGGTGAGCCACTCAACCTCTGCAAACATCAGATTCCTAATCAGTAAATTGTGACTCAATGAGATAATTAACTTGAAAGTGCTTTGTAATATTAAAAGCACCAAGTAAATAAAAAATTCTTCCATCCTAAAGGTTAAGAACATCATTAAAAATTTACCACATGAAATAAGAGCACATATGATGCAGACAACTGTAATTATGGGTACATTTACAGAAGAGGTATCATGTTACAGAGGACCATAGGTCTGAAAGAGACAAAGTCTAGCACCGACATCTGTCTGAGGAAGATTTCCACAGGAAACACAGAACTTGCAGTTGAATTCTGTCTGGACGGTATGGATAGCATCAGATGCAGGTCATAATTTCTAAGGAAGAGAACCGAATTTGAACTGAAAGCCAAGAAACCTTTAAAGAAATCTCAAGAGATGCACCTATAAAGACATCAAGTTCCAGAACCAATTAAAATTTTATAAACCGCAAAAGGTCAGAAAGAAAAAAATCCTTGTGGGAGGTGGTGTCCTGAAAGTTAGTTTTGACTGGTGGAGAGTATGTATAGCAGACTGACCAACTTCTTTGGTAGACAGCTTCAGGGACAGGGGCTGTCCTGTTTTAAGGACTTGAGCTACTAGACTCTAAGAGGTCGAATCACAAACAATGTTAAGCAAATAGAATGGCTTCTTGTTGAGTACTAAAAAGAGAAGTGGGGGCATGACACATGTGGTAGTTAGTCTACTACTGATTATGTCACCACTACAGCCAGAAAAGCCAGCGATGTGTCAGACATGTTAAAAATTGAAAGTATACCACAATGTGTGGTAGCTTTCTCTCCAAGCATTTCAAGAAAGAAATTATATTGCTAACTTTTGTAATGGTGCCTATTATGTAACAATAGGGATGACCAAGGGGCCCAGGAACTCAATTTTCTATAAGGTCTCAGTAATGTAGCCATTTATTGTACCATTCTCTAATGGAAATAGTTGGAGAAATATAAATATCAAGACTGTGAAAACATCAAAGGCCACACTGGAAAAGCCCACACACAGGAAAATGTGTGGGCCTGAATTCTTCCATTCTGGATGGGTAAAAGGCTGAGCTTATGATGCTGGGATGAGACATTGAAGGCCTTGAGACAAGTGAAATAGATGTATTGAAGCTGACACACAGGCCACCAGCAGCTTCCTCTTCCACAGTGCCATTGTTTTAATTTCAAAGGTACACAGAGAAAATTCAATCCCTCTGGTAACAAAAAGAAAGATCATCAGATTTGTCCCTAAGCTGAATTTTCCTTCATTTTTTCCCACTTGAGGAACTGAGATGGTTATTTTAAAAATTAGGACGATTTTCTTTGTTCTCTGGGATATAGCCTAATGCATAGGTAGGTATCATCAAACCATTTTCTCTGTTCTTTGTAAGAGATTACACCTGAGTGTTCCTTATAATGTTTAACCTTCCTGCCTCCCCACCCTCTTCATTGTCAAAATTCACTTTATTCATTCTTCAAAATTCTTTACACCCTTCTCTTGAGGCAACACTTACCTTTTACCTAGATTACAATTGTCTATGTGCATATCTTTCCTGTTTGTTTATCAGGTTGAAGAAGAATGCAAATTATAATATAGTAGATTTTGGAGTCAGAGCATTCTGGTTTCAGATCTTTATTCCGTCCCCTGTTGGAAGTAAAGACCAAAGGACTTAGACCACATCGATGTTCTTAACTTCTATGGTCCTCGGTTTTCTGATCTGCAAAATGGGGGCCAACATTTCATAGATTCGTTACAAGACTGTGCTTAATTTTTTCTCTCTCTTTCTAAATAACTGAGGGCATTTGTATGCTTAAAAATATTTATTTAAACACAAGACTAGAAATGAATAAGGCAGTAAAAATGGAGTTGTTATAGGCAGTCTCTTTGAGAAAGACGTTCTCAGTTCTCCCCAGGTTAAATAAGAAGTATATACCTGCCAGTTAATGCATTATACTGAGGATTAATTAACACATATCCTAAGCATCCAAACTAGTACCAACTAAAATAATAAGCTGGTCATAATTCAAAACTATTATTGTTACACTCAGGTCCCAGGTGCTTTAGAGGATACATCCCGTTCTATTAAAGAAGTGAAAACATAACTAGAAATGTGAATTGGCTTACATATGACACATTAAAAGTCTATTATAAAACTGACATCAGTATTCTCAAATGCTAACCTTTTTCTGAGTTTTGTTAAACCTCACACTCTTTAAAAAGTACAATATAGGTCTGCCAAAGTGGCTCAAGTGGTAGAGCTCCTGCCTAGCAGGCATGAGACCATGAGTTCAAACCCCAAAACTGGCAAAAAAAAGTTTTCAAAGTACAATAGACATTAAGACATTTAAACAGATATAGAAACATGTACAATTTAAAACAGAGAAAATAGTATCTCAAACTTGATAAGCTTTTTATGTATCCTAATCTTAATATTTCTCTAGCTGTGTTAGAAACAAACTATCATATTATACGTAATTAGCTCATTGTGTAGATAAGAAGGTAAAACCATCCTGAAACAGGAAACCAGTATTCTTCCTGTCTAATCAACAAATCTAAACATTTATTCTTTTCATCTATTTATTCTTGCTCTTGTCCACCACAACAGGCTATTTACATGTTCAACATAGTTTTATGACAAAGTGAAAATTTTCATGAGTTAGTTTTGTATCTCCACCCCCTGAAAGAAAGGAGGAAAAATTGTTTCATACAAAAGGGGTTAGCTGTATGAATTAAAACTGCCACCTAAGTGTGGGTTAATGTAACCAAGAGGGATTTCACCTACATCCATTCAGCCAGTGTCTGGGGGTTTAAAGAAATTCCAAAGAGTCATCAGAAGAGGAAAAACAAAGGTAATGCTTTCTGCCACACAGGTAGAGTCTTTGAAAATATGTGTAATATGTAAAACATTTTGACACCCCCATATTATTTTTCCAGAATTAACAGTATAAATTGCTTCTCTTGTTCAAGAGCTTCCTATCACCCTCTCTAATCACTACTCACGGTAACCTCAACTCCTGCCACAATGTACAAAATGCAACTCTTGTCTTGCATTGCACTAACTTTTGCACTTGTCATAAACAGTGCACCCACTTCAACCTCTACAAAGGAAACACAGCAACAACTGGAGCAATTACTGCTGGACTTACAGATGATTCTGAAAGGAGTTAATGTAAGTATACTTTCTTTCTAACTAAAATTACATTTAATTATTCTTGCTGTTGTTTTCTTTGCAATAACAATGTGCTATGCTTTCTCAGAATTACAAGAATCCCAAACTCTCCAGGATGCTCACTTTTAAATTTTACACACCTAAGAAGGTAAGTATAATTTTCTATGTTAAGTTTACGTTTTAATCAAACTCAAGGTGATATGAATGTTTACACACTGGATTAATAGAACTTCATTTGAGGATTTAAAAAAGAGCAACTTTGATATCTCTTTTTTAAAAGAAAAATCTAAGTTTGATAATGGACCTTTGTTAAAACAGTTTTGCCTATATTTTTTATATGTACATGTGTGTAAGGAGAGGGAGTGGAATGAAACATAAATAATATTCTGACTTTGTTGTTGGGACAATTTAAAAGAAGATTATGTTGATTAATTGTTTTATTTAAAAATATAAAACTTTAGAGATATTTGATTATATCATTTTAGCAATAAGTATCAATATAAATTTCAGAGAAGCTCACTTTAAAAATGTTTTTACTGTTTTAAGAAAGATTTCTAAGAGTCTATCTTTGAGAGGGACAATAACTACTAGCACATATTCTGAGGTCAGATTATCTGAACTAAAATCCCAGCTCTGCCATGTCCTAGCTTTCATAGGGAAAATTACCTGTTTTTCTTTTCAAGACTCTTTCTTATCTACTTACAGGATGCTATTATTGTATATACTTATAGTTTTGTGATGTTTCAAAACAATGTCTGGCAAGTACCAGAAAAACATGAACTATTAGTAGTAGTAGTAAAGACAAATTCTTTTGTTTTTTGACTGGGTTTTTTGTTTGTTTTTAGATAAAAGAAAAATTCTTAGTGGGATGTATAAAGTGAAAATTTAAATTTTTATATCTTTTCTCCCAATAGAACTAGAGTCTTATAACATTTCCCCAAGACTGAAAATTTCATTTGGCTATTTTGAGATTCAGAAAGTTATAAGATAAAATAATATATCACCCAAACTCCTATAACTACATCATAGGTATAAATTTTTCTAACTGTGTGCCAGACAACATAGAATGAGCAAAACTTAGTATCAGGAAGAGTCTGTCCAGGGTAAATCTAAGCCAGAAAAAAAAAAAGAAAATGATTTAAGGGACAAACATGCAATTCTGTTTACCCATTTCTATTAAGTAAAGAGATCTCTGCTTCAGACTATTCTATCGAAAAAGATGAAAAGGAAATATCTTGCAGGTGCTCTTAGCATAATTAGAGTCACAAAATTCTAACTCTAGCAATAAGGGACCCTGGACTATTCTCTGAAGGAAATAGTTCCAAATTGCTCATGCTAAAATGTCATGCCTTGAATTTGTAGAACTTGTAGCAATTTGAAAAGGCAGTAGCTAGGCATATAGGAGATGTGTGTTGTCTGACCCTACCTTTCCCTCTAAAGGCTGTTGGAGAAATAACGAGATTATATGCATAGTTAAAAGGGAGATGGAAAACTTTGAAATCTAAGATACTAAATGACAGCTCAAGCTATTTGAAATAAAAGTAAAGTGATAAACTTCATTCATTTAACTGTCATCCCACATATACAAAAGATTTTAGAAATGAATTGAAATATTTAATTCAAATGGTGCTATGTTAATGCTATAATGAAAAAGAATTAAAATTTTGTCCTAGCTCTACCTATACATGTGGCTTTAGGGAGGACACAAATTCACAAATCCAGACCTTTAGTTACCTTGTTTGTGAAATGGAAATAACATTACTGCACCACTTACCTCAAAGGGAGCCTGCAAATTTAATTTTAGGCAAAAATGCCTTAAATAATGTTTATGAAAATTATAACAGTAGTATGAAATACTGTCTCTCTCTCTCTCTCTCTCTCTCTCTCTTCTCTCTCTCTCTCTCTCTCTTTCGTTTTCCCTGCCTGTCCCAAATCCTGTCCAAATGTTGTGGCTTTTTATTTGATTGGGAAAGAGAGATTTTAACAATGCATCTTAATGTAGCAATTCTAAAACGGTGGAAACTTAAGATAGTTAAATATGTCTCCATTAAGGCTACAATACAATTCATTACTGACCAGGTCAATTTATCCTAATCTAAAAATTCCGGGACTGTAATAGATAGCAGCCAAGGGCTCTTTTTGTCTCTTAACATTCTGCGATTCTCAACTCTTAAGACTAATCAAATGTGGAAATATCCTGACTACTCTGGTTCTGATTTCTATGTAGCCTGGAAAAGTAGTCAGCCTACATCTGTGATTTGTATTTTGAGTGTAAAAATGTTGACTTTTTACATAATCTAATTAAGCCAAGACAAATGATTCATTAGTTAACTAATAGTTAATTGTAATCATAAGTATTTGAACCTTTGTTTTCCTAGCTTTATAATATAAACTATATTGGTCCATCTTCACATCCACGTTGAGAAAAAGGAGAATGGTTAAAAAAGAAACTATGTACTGCTTCTCTTAATAAAAAATAAATTGAATGTTAACTTTTGATTCTGACCTTTAGTATAGGATAATTAGTCTGATGGTTATTTTTACTATTATTCCAGGCCACAGAATTAAAACATCTTCAGTGCCTAGAAGAAGAACTCAAGCCTCTGGAGGAAGTGCTAAATTTAGCTCAGAGCAAAAGCTTTCAATTGAAAGATAAAAGGGATTTAATCAGCAATATCAATGTAACAGTTCTGAAACTAAAGGTAAGACATCACTTTATTTGCTGTCCTGGAAATCAAATAACTGGGAGAAGAAAAGTAATGCATTTTAAAGTGGCAAAATATTTTTGGTATTTTTGAAGTAGCCATACATTTGATTAGCTAACATGTAAAGTTCATTGTGAATATGAATCATTTTCAGTGCTAGATAATATACTGATACATTGCGGCACCTGGACACATAAATTAGAGGGTTTCTACCCATCATTCTCTCCGGGGACATTCTTCCACGCCAGCACTCTAATGTCCTTCATGTTAACACAAATCTGGAAGTGGAAGAAAGCATTAAGTAGAATTTTACAGAAAACAGTTTTCACTATATCATTTTCAATTCCTTCAGTTCATTTACCAGATTGCCAATCTTGATTACCTGACAGGCTATTCAAAAGGGATTTCCCTGACATTGGTGGAAAGACTAACCACAGAGCTTTCTCTCAAGAAAAAAAAAATAGCAGCCATTAGAATAGACAGAGGAGCAGTTAATTGACCCCTTGTTTATAGCCCCACTTCCAGGGCTTTGAGTATTTCTAAATGCATGGGAGGCATGAAATAAACAAAGGACTCAGGTGATATGAAAGTGATCACATTTTCTCTTCTCATCCCATCTACCAAGTACAAAATTCATGAGTTAATAGGTATTATAAATATACTGCATAATTTGAATACCAGTAGCAGGAAAATTTTAAAAGTATATAACCCTAGTTGTTTCTAACAAAGAGTCACTTTATTAGTGTTTTAATTTAAATTTTAAAAAAATACACTGAAACCACTGTCAGGTAGACATTGACAGGCTCAGTTTCTTATCCAGGTTAAACAGTTTGCTCTAAATTTTTGACCAACATCAAAAAGCTCACTCTAAACTTATGGTACAAATGTAGGATAAAATTATATGAAAATCAGAAAAGTGTATTTCAAAAGTCACATACATTTTTAAAATGAAAATAAAAAAGCCAAGAGATTACAAAATTTAAATAGCTATGTATAAGGGAATATGTAATGCTACAATGGTTTATTTAAAGGGAATACTTATCTACAGAAAATACTTTGTTTCACTTGATTTACAAGGAACGACTTCAAATTTGAAAAAGCCATCTCATTTATCTCACTATATTATAAAAATATTTCCTTATATTATTAGCTAGAGCAGAATTGAACTGTCTCCTTTCAACAGAGGAAATTAATTTATAAAAAGTCAATCCACAAAACAAATTTTTAACATTCATACTTTTAAAAATTGGGAGCTCACCTGCATTGATACTAGGGTGTGGTGGAGTAGGTATGTCTATTTATGAAGACATTCTTCACATGGATTTTTCCAAACAGAAGTTTGTCCTGACTTTCTTTGGGCTGGTCCTATCCTGACTTGGAGAAAATATGAGGGGATTCACTTAAGTAGAATAACAAGAATTTTTTTTTTTTTGGTGGTACTAGGGCTTGAATTCAGGGCCTTCACCTTGATCCACTCTACAGCCCTATTTTTGTGATGGATATTTTCAAGATAGGGTCTGTGAACTATTTGCCTGGGCTGGTGTCAAACCATGAGCTTCCTGATCTCTGCCTCCTGGGTAGCTAGGATTATAGGTGTGAGCCACCAGTTCCTGGCAACAAGATATTCTTAATCAAGGTTCAGGAAAAAAAGAACAGTATGCACATCATTTCATACATTTAAACAACATCAATAGCAATATAGATATAGATACACACTCAGAGGAAAAGAAGTCAAACAATTTTATTTCATATGCAGTATTTAATAAAATATTTATCCAGAACTATTTTGATTCAAATGTTTATTTGTGCCAAATTCAGGAAAATATTTTGTGTTATTGGCAGGAGAAGTAACAAATGAGAAATGTGTCATCTTTTATGTTACTATCATTTAGTATTATAATAAAATATATAATTTTGGCATTTTTTATCAATTAAAGAAAATGTAAATGATTAATATGTTTAACGAGCTTAAAATAAAGGCATAAGACTATAAGACTTTTAGTTGAGAATAATTATATGTAAGGTAAACTACTCTAAGTTATTAAATATTTTCATTTATAGGAATCTGAACCACCATTCATGTGCGAATATGATGATGAAACAGCAACGATCATTGAATTTCTAAACAAATGGATTACCTTTTGTCAAACCATCATCTCAACACTGATTCGATAACTATGTTCCTTCCTCCCATCTATTTATTTAAATATTTAAAATTTATATTTATTTTTGGATATATGGTTTACTACCTTTTGTAACTATTTTAGTCTTCAGGTGATAAATATGGATCTCTTAAGATTCTTTATGTAAGCCCTAAGGGCTCTAAAATGGCTTCTTTTAAATTATTTATCTGAAATTATTTATTATATTAAATTGTTAAATATAATGTCTATGTAGATTAGTTACTAAAAGTATTTAATAAGGTTGGTGAATATAAACAAAATTTTTGGAAAAGCACAGAGCAAACACTAAAATATATCTGAGTTACTTGTGTGAATGGTATGATGGCTAATGTGATTACAAAAATCACTTTTCCCCTGGAGATGTAAATAGAATAAGGACATGGGCTTCTCAAAGTCTTTGTATTCTCCTTTCAAGAACTGATTAGATCCTCAGTTCTGGTTTGAGAAAATCTTACCTGGTTACAAAATTTTCCCTTTTTCCTTAAACTTAAACAAAGTGCCAAAAGCAAACTTCTTTTGTGTGTGTTTTCAATACTGGGGTTTGGACTCAGGGCCTCAAACTTGCTAAATAGGCATTTACTACTTGAGCTATACTCACAGCCCTAAATTCGCTTTTTTGGGGGCAGTATTGGAGTTTGAACTTGGGGCCTCATACTTGTAAGGCAGGCACTCTACCACCTGAATCCCATCCCTAGTCCAAACACAAACATTCTTGAAATTCTTTGTCTTAGTTCATTTTGTGTTGCTATAACAAGATACCATAGGCTGGGTATTTTATACAGAGTAGACATTTATTTAGCTCACAGTTCTTGAAGTTCAAGAGCATGCTACCAATATCTGATGTGCTCTGATGAAGATGTTACCACAATGATGTGTGCCGAAGAGGGATTCAGGGAGGTGCCAGGCTCATTTATAATAACCCCTTCTTGTAGAAACTAATCCAATCTCACAACATCTAACTCACTTTTTTTTTCTTTTCTTTTTTGAGTTAGTGTCTTGCTATATAGCGCAGGTTGGCCTGTATCTCACTATGTAACCCAGGCTGGCCTTGAACTCATGATCTTCCTTCCTCAGTCTCCCAAGTGCTGGGATTACAAGTGTACACCACTGTCTTGAGGCAGCATTAATTCGTTCACGAGTATAGAGCCCCCATGATGTAATATAACTACCTTCCACTAGGTCTCACTTTTTAACACTGTCGCACTAGAGACCAAACTTCTAACACATGAACCTTTAAAGGACAAACCATATGTAAAGTATAGCACTCTTCATAGAACTTGCATGCCTCTCTATCCATTCTCAAATGTCTTTACACTTAGCTCTCTGCCCTCAGGAAGATCAACTGTGTGGTTTATCATCAAAGGCCTCCCCTGCCTCTGGTTTTCCACTGGGTCCTGCCAATGGAAGCCCTGGTACTCTTACCAGGTCTAAGGAACAGAAGAAGTTCCCCTGACTCTCTCCTTATGGAGTAGCCTATGGATGGCTGTGTCTCTTGACCATAGACTCTAGCTACTCTCAGAGTGACACTCTGGATACTTTTTCCTTCTGGGTTTTGATAATCTTTCCTTCCACTTCTCCTTTCAAGCTTAGGGATGCTAACGCTTCTGCTACTATCAACTCCGGTACTTATACTAGTCTTTTCAGATTCTTTATATCTTGATGAAGTTTTAAAATCATCCCCCTTTTAAATCTCTTTCTACTTGAGTATGTCATCTGTTTTCTGCTGAGATTCAGTTGTAGTAATTTTATAAATAGCCCCCAGAAAATAGGCCTTCAAAATAGGATTCTGAAACTAGGTTCTTCATATATTCAAGGAACTCAGTGATAATAGGACATGAGAAATCCATGGAATATAGTAGCATACTGATTCCTCAACCGATTACTAATGGCAGCATGGAGTGAAATGCAGATGGAAGGCAAGATGGGAGATTAAAGGGTGGTAATATTAAGCTGCAACAGTAGTTATAAGAATTGTGATTATCATCTAAACTCTTCTGAGCTCCCAGACAGAGAACAAAGGAAAAAAATAGAAGTTATGAATGTAACAATTAAAACCATACTTGAGAAACCAGAAGGCCTCTTTGGCAGTTTTGGAAGAGTCATAGGACACATATGACAGAGTAAAAAGCCAAGAACTAACGTAGGGTCTACAAAGATGCAGTGCGAATTAAAAGTCTAAGTCTTCCAGGACTCTAATACTAAAGATGGGAAAGGAGTAGGTCTCTGATATATGGGATGATGATATTTTGCCAGACATAGAGGACGCTAAGACTTATGAACATCTGTTTCCTGTTGAGAAACAACCCCTTTTAGTCTCATCAGAGGAGAATAAACGCTCTGCTTAAAACATCTCCATGCTCGCAAATTGAAAGTGATTTTCCTCAGAGCTCACCATCTTTCATGGCCTCCAGGCTTAAAATGGGAGTTAAGATCTCAATATTGCTGGTGCAGGGAGATCCAAGGTGACTAGACTATGGAAGCTGAAAAAGAAGTCATGATTGGGCTGATTTAATTGTGATAGGTACAACTTCCTGGGATTCAGAATTTGTGTGTGTGTGTGGTACTGGGACTTGAACTTGGGCTTTTTATGCTTGCTGGGCTTGCTAGGCAGATACACTACCACTTGAGTCACTCCGTCAGCCCCCTGGGATTCAGAATTTAATGAGAACTCACAAATGGTATTCATAGTTGGTTGATTAAAGACTTAGGTTCCACAATTTGTTTAATGATGCTGAAATGCAAGAGCTTCACTATAGAAGGAAAAAGCCCAAAGAACTGGGAAAATGAAAATGTTAGACTGGCTCCATTGTGTGCAATCTTTTCATACCACCTTGGACACATGATATATGTCATTAGCATTCACCAGAACTCTGTGGTGACTTTCTTCATTAGGTCAGAAACAGTAGCTGGTGATGCAATGGAACTGATTTTCCTAATCTCATCAGAAATAATGGAATCCTGAAGTGATACTAGCCAGGTGGCAACACTTAGTCCTTAGAGACAAGGGGCAAGCAATTACCACAATCAGATATAGAGCAGAGTATTCATCAGTGTTTTGACTCAGACATCTGATAGCATATTGCAAAATCCCTAAAAATTAGAAGATTATTATTCTGCTGAATAGAAATAAATGCAAGTCACCATAGCTAGTATTATAGCCTGTTCCTCGTTTCTGGAATTGATCCACTTAATAGACCTCGTATCCATGCTTTGGGGGGAAGCAGCAGATTCCTTTAAGAAAAGACCCTGAAATGTTGCCACATCAGATTATTTGTGCTTTTGCTGCTTAGTTTTTTGAGCTCTTTGTGTATTCTGAATATTAATACTTCATTAGTTGCAGGACCAGTGAAGATTTTTTTTCCAATTCTGTGGACTATTCTTGATAATTGTTTCTTTTAATGTACAGAAACCTTTTGATTTGATGCAGTCCCATATTTCAATTCTTTCTCCTTTTTTCCTGGCCAACTGGCATCCTATTCAGAAAACAATCACCTATGCCTATAGTTTCCAGATTTTTCCATAATACTTTCAAAATTTTAGTTATTACATTAAGATCTTTTATCCAGTTGAAGTTGATTTTTGTACAGGGTGAGGCATATGGGTCTACTTTCAGTCTTTTGCATGTAGATCATCTGTTTCTTGTAGGCATTTCTTGTAGGCAACAAATGGTCAGGTCTTGCTTTTTAATTCAATTCACCACTCTATGTTTTTTGATTGGAAAATTTAGACAATTTACATTCAGTGTTAATATTGAAAGGTCTGTAGTAATTCCTGCCACTCTGTTGGTTTTTACTGTTTGATTCTTTCCTGCTCTTCATTTGCTTATCTATTCATCTGGTGAGATTTATGTTCTCCATATTTTATGGCTACATTTACCTCACTCTTCTGTGTGAAAGATTCCTTTGAACACCTGCTACAGTGCTAGTTTAGTGGTTCTAAATTGCTTTAGTTTTTCTTTATCTTGGAAGATTTTTATTCCTCCTTCAGTTATGAATGATAGCTTTGCTGCCCACAGTAATCTAGGTTGGCAGTTGTTTTCTTTCAATGCTTGAAATATATGATATGCCCTCTTGTCCTTAACATTTCTCTTGAAGAAATCTGCTGTTATTCTGATAAGTTTGCCTTTATAGGTGACTTGGTGCTTCTCCCTTGCAGCTTTCAATGTTCTTTCCTTGTTCTCTGTACTTGATGTTTTAACTATGATATGCTGTGGAGAGGTATTCTTTTGGTCTTGTCTGATTAGAGATCTAAAGGCACTGTAAAGGATGGATATCATGTTTTTAAAATTTGGAAAGCTTTCTATCATTACTCTCTTGAATGTTTTCTATGCCTTTAACCTGCACCTCTTCTCCTTTGTCATTGTGCATGACTTATAGGTTCTGTCTTTTAGAGGAATCACAAAATTCTTGCATATTCCATTCATATTTCATTGTTTTCTTTATCTCCATTAATTTTTCTGTTGAATCTATTTCATCCTCAAGCCCAGATAGTCTGTCTTCCATTTGATTCAGAATAGGCTTTATTTTTTTTAATTTTTATTTTCATTTATTCACATGTGCATACATTATTTGGGCCATTCCTCCACCCTACCCCCTCCCCTCTCCCTTCCCCCCCAGCCCCTCGCTTCCAGGCAGAACCTGTTCTGCCCTCATCTCTAATTTTGTTGAAGAGAAGACATAGCAATAATAATAAAGACATAGCACATTTGCTACTTGAGTTAAGGATAGTTGTACAGAGGGATTCCTAGCATTGCTTCCATGTACAAATGTGTTACATCCCAAGTTGATCCATCTCTAACTGATCTTTACACTGGTTCCTGATCTCCTTCTCATGTTAACTTCTGTTGCTTTAAGGTTTCTGTATTAGTTCCTCTGCAGTGGGGACATCAAACACTTTCTGGTTTTGGGTTTCTTACCTATCCCCATCCTTCCCATATGTGCTCTCCACTTATCATGTGACCCAAGTTCAACAACGTCGCTGTATTTGCCCTAG